TCTATATTTAAGGTAGTTAGGATTCGGTATTTTAGGAATTTAGTAGACTCTTTGTGTGTATTTCTATTCCCTTTAGTTTAATGAGATAGGACAAAAAAAATATTCCACTTTCAGTAAGCACAACGAAAACGGTTACTAAACAAGATTAGAAGGATAAGAGGCATGTGAGGACATTATGTGATATACTAAGATATATGTGTTCTATATAAAATGTTTTACCTATGATGAAGAGTTTGAAAGGATATTTCGGCTTATTTGCCTAGCATGAAACAATGATACGTTTTATATCACAAGAACATGTTTAGGATGCATGACGATGACATGTATTTTACAAATGTCTTAGAAAATCTATTATGTGAGCTTAAGTACGACCAATGATGATTATCCAATAGGATAATTAATGGAGGGACGTCTTAGAAAGTGTAAACGAACCTCACAGGGAAGCCCTTAGTGGACCCCGAGGTTAGTAAACTCCAACATTAGTGAGACCACCATACTTGCATGTTACTAAAGATCTCAAGAGAATGTTTTATGCATGATATATGATGAAAAGTTCAATAAAAATTTATTTCGTGCATTAACAATATTGGTTTTATGAAAGATCATTTATTGCATCAAACCTGTTACATACTCCATGAATGCTCTTAGGCAAGACATAATAAGGCATGAATTGATAATCAAGAAGTCTTCAAACTCTTATCTTTTGTCGATAGCTTCTACATGTATAATAGGCTATTGAATTAATGTTTAGAACGTTTTTGCATACATGATGTTCATGATGATACTGTATTGAATCATGATGTAATAAAAGTATAGCATCGTAAGTTACGAAAGTTTTAGTTCTCATACAAGTTATGATAAGGTATGTATGATAGTGATAACACTAGGGGAGTGCGACTTCACAACATATAAGTACGATGGCATACTGGATTTTATGGCCCCGAGGTCATCTATTGTAGCACAACAAATTAATTGTTTGCTTTTGTCGAAGAAAACAAATAAAATTAGTTACACTAATTTCATATCAATTTGCTTAACACATCTCCATGGAAATTTGGAAGTATATAGTATTTATATATGACAAAATACTCGCACCCTCCTTATCTTTGGTGAGGTTTAAACCCTTAAAATTCTAGAAGATTGGGCTCTACTGGTAACCCAGGTACCACTGAGCCAATGCCCTTGTAAGCCTTTTATTCTCTCATCATCATCTACTGCAAGATGTGATCACATTTTTTCATTTTGTAGGTTATTTGGAACATGAAAGGAAATTCCATCTTGAATGGCAATCTCTCTTTGAAGAACCAAGTTTCCTCTGTGGTCTCAAAATTCTTAGTCGCTGCCTGATGATTAGAGTAAATGGTTTTTTGATTGATTTAGGTGATTTGTTGGTGCTTCAGTAATTTCTCCTTCAACAAAAGATGAACAAGATTTTAAATTTAAATTTTACAGTCATCCATGGAATGGGCATAATTACGTTCACAATGTATATCATGCTTTTTAAGTTTCTAGTATCACAAGATCGTTTGTAGTTTCTATTAATGTCATTTGTCAAGTTTTTAAGTTTTCTATTATGGCTTTGTTGTGAGGTTATTTAGAAGAATAATCATTCGACAAATTTTGTTTAAATGCATATCCTTCTGACAGATTGTGAGACATTCTTGTGTAAGGATGATGCATTCTTCTGTTAGATAGAGGTGTTTTTAAATTTTTCAGAAGGTCATGTGTTTAAAAAGAATATGTCATGATGTTACTCTCGAAACTAAGCTGTCATGTTGAAGGTCTAACTGAAGAGATCATAATCAACCTTCAAGGGTTCTAGAGAAAGAAACACCATGACTCGTAAGGGAGGCATAAATACCAACATGGATTCAAATTCGATATCATGAGTTACAAAATAGATAAAGGAGTTAAAATAAAGCGAATTCAAGATACAAGACCCGAGTTATGGTTGAACCATATTGAACTTTGGGGACCCAAAACAAAGTCGAATTTTGTAGCTATATAATTTCATGTCCGACCTTGGGTTACAATTCAAAATTTTCATTTTTTCAAGTGTCTAAGTTGCAGCTTCTTTTGTCAGGCTTTAAGTGACTCGTGTTCAATTTTGTAATTTTTTTGCCATCGGGCTCAAATGTTTGCTATTTCAGGTGTTCTAATAGCAACTTCTTTTGTCAAGCTTTAAGTGACTTATATTTTATATTGTAATTTTTTACTTTCAGATTATTTATGGATTTTGACCATAAGTATCATATGGAAACACAATGGCCTACAATCAAGCTCAACATGAATAATGATGTCTTTTTTTTTATTATATGAAACAAAAACATATCATTTCAAAGTATTCATCTCACTTTGTGCTTGTGTGCTAATAATGCCCTTATGTGGTACTAGCTCATATGGAAATACACTAGTAAATAGGAGGATCAATTTCGGTTTTTTTTTAAATTCTTTCTACAGACTTGCCAAACTATAAAAGTAACACCTTTACAGACATGTTTTTCCCCATCAATTATACTTGGTTCGTTTAAAAAAATTAAACTATGAGATACATGTATATTTCAAATGTAATTTGCAGATTATATGTCTCTAGATATATCACGATGACGAGTTAACTTGGATAGATATGGAGGAGGATTCAGCTTCAGATTCCAAGGAAATGAGAGTTTTATTTATGAAATGGTTCTCTTGCAAAGAAGTAAACAAAGACGGGTAGGAGTTAGGTAAAAGAAGGCGATAGAATGAACATTCTCAATTGAGACATAAGAGGAATCACCAAAGATTCTCTCGTGTAGTGATTAGTGTTTTGTTCAGGATGTCAATTCGTTCGGATGAAATCAACCAATATGCATACCAATCATACCAATTAAATTGGTGCTAATACCAATGTAAGTTCGTTGGTACTACAACACCAAGTATGTAAACTTGGTTGTGGGGGTGTTCATTAATGAATTTAGGTGGATATGATTTGATCCAATCATCCATTGCATGTTGGATTTTATCATCTGTTCCAATCAAATTAACAATGGACATTCGCTTCAGTCAAATCCATTGATGATTGGATCAGACTAATTCCATCTATTGGATATTGTTATTGGTTATCCATTGGAACAGATTGGTTTCATGTAATATTTTGATTCAATTTTTAACCAATTAATCCACTATTTTCAACCAATTATTCATGTATTTTCTTAATTCATTAAAAAACGCTACATATAAATATCAACTAAAAAACAATATCGTAAGATGTTGGATTCTGGATAGCCATCCAAAACTCGACATATCCAATTTGGGTATTGAAATTTTGGATCCAATCTAATTACAATTGGATATCTGATTATGGTCGGTTCGTTTAAATTGGATCATATGACTTTTCTATACACCATGGTTGGTACCTGATATGAAAAATCCTATACCATGGTACCACATACCATTCTAACTTGATTAGTTTTTTTTATTGAATTGATAGTCAATAATTTATTACTTAATCTAATCAACTATCGAACATTGTTTGGTTTTTTAAGATCTCACCAAACACATCCTTATTTGAATGTGTGTAGTATTGTTTTTGAAGTATTGATTAGTTGGACATATTATTTAACATTCTAACTTCAACTTTTATTGTTACTATTGGACATTGTAAATTGACTTCAGCATTTGCAGTGTAAGTACCAAATATAGTTTGTTGGTACATGATATATGTTTTCGTTCCAATTACTGTGTGGATACTTTAGTGGTATTATGTGTCAAAACTTGGTCAATACTATAATCTCATAAAGCTAAAGGAGAATTCCCATCATTCCATTTTAATTCTTCATCAGGCTCTGAAAATAGAATCAGGCCCATTTAACGTTTTTACTACTTAACTCAAAATGCTCGAGGAATACATGTGGCTTGGTTTGTCGTTTTGGTCAAGGTAGCTTGTTGATTAAAAGATTCCTCTTAGTTTTAGGTCCTGTGTTTATGCCTAAAATTGGTTTCAATCAGAAATGGTAAGAATATCCCATTCAATACAATTCATGAAATAACAAAAACTTTGCCATATCAAAAAAGGAAAGAAAGATAGTATGATCAAGTATTTTATTCAAACTTTGTATGCAACATAAAGATTGTTTTGCATTAGAAAAACAACGTGAGGAATTCAACAAAAATAGAAATACAGTTTATGTTATTAAACTATCTGTTAATTTAATAAGTTTTTTGAAAATGATGTTCTCATTTGCAAAAAGGATCGGAAAATGCTTGAAAAGTCACTTGTTTATCATAAATAACGAAACTATCAACATTATTGATTTTTTATACTGATGGAGCTATGTTGGTAGCAATAAGTTACACAAATTTGTTGGTACAAATGGAATGCAAGGTTTTCCATATCAATATGATGTTAATTATGTAAAGGTTCAATAACATGCATTTCACAGCATAGCTTGTTCATCTTCGGTGGCATTCAAGGTTCTTCTTTAACATTCATATCTAAACGGATCTCGATGATTCTTGATTCCCTATATTCCTTAGTTAACTAAGCATCAGATTGGACATCAAACTCATATTATACGTCAAGGCATTGTCTTAAAAACACTCGATACCGTCTATAACTCCAAACACAGACCATGTTTGACCACCCTAGCTTCCAAATCAATTATCTTCCAAACCCTTCAACTTTAAGTTTCAAAAAAATACTCTTTAGAAAGCTAACTTAATTTCCTACAATACCCACAAAATTTCTTTAAAATCCATCAAGTAAAACTCTAGTTATGCCCAAATTAGTTGAGCCTAGAAACACACCAAAATGCCTAACATTCTATCCAATTTCATCTCACATCCTTCTCCGCCGTTGATAGCCAACGATCTGAGGGCTCCTATTTAAGTTGTAGTGACGTTATTAATCCGTGTGATGCCTCATCAACCAATCAAATCACAGATTTTGGATATGTGTTCTCATACTTAATATTATTTAAATCCGCACAAATTTATCGGATTCACACGCGCACAAAATTCGATCGGTGCCATCCATCCCAATTTCCCGTAGCAGTAACCGATCTAAATTCATTTGTCGGATCCCTAAATTGTCGAAACCCTAGCCCTAATTGTAGGTTGATGGCGACGGAAGAACCAGTTGTTGTGACGGAGGTCTGCGCACCGGACGTCGGAGCATCTGTAACGGTTGTAGTCGAGAAGGAACCTGCAGTTGAAGCAGCTGAAGGAAAACCATCGAAAGGCAAGAAGACAACCACCACACGAAAACCTAGAAGTCCGTCGTTGCATCCTCCTTACTTTGAGGTATGAATTGCTCATAATTCGAGGTTTTTTTCTGTTGATTTTGTGTTTTATTATGATTGGGATATGAGTTTATCGATCTGATTGTTTTTTTGTGATGTTAATTTGATTGTTTATGTAGATGATCAAGGAAGCGATTTTGGCGTTGAAGGAGAAGAGCGGTTCGAGTCAGTATGCGATCGCGAAGTTTATTGAAGAGAAACAAAAGAATCTTCCAGCAATGTTTAAGAAGGTGTTGTTGGTTCAATTGAAAAGGTTAGTCGCCGAGGGTAAGCTTGTGAAGGTCAAGGCGTCTTACAAGCTGCCGGCTGCTAAACTTCCGACTGCAGTTGCTCCGGCGAAGAAGAAACCTGCTGTAAAGCCTAAGGCATCCGCCAAGCCCAAGGCAGCCGCCAAGCCCAAGGCAGCAGCAAACAAAGCGCCAGCTAAGAAGAAGCCAGCCGCAAAGCCTAAACCAGCTCCGAAAGCCAAGGCTGTAGCAAAGCCTAAGGCAGCAGCTAAGCCCAAGCCCGTTGCAAAGGCTAAGGCAGCAGCTCCCGAAGCTGTGGCAAAGCCAGTTGTAAAAGCGAAGCCCAAGGCTCCAACGAAATCAGCTAAGGTAGCTAAGACATCAACGAGATCGACCCCAAGAGGGAAAGTCGCTCTGGCTCCGAAACCGGTAAAGGTAACAACATCGACCCGATCAACTCCGAGGAAGACATCGGCGGCGGTTCCTAAAGCGGCACCAAAGAAGAAGGCGGCGGCGGCGAAGAGCGTGAAGGCAAAAGCTGCGACACCGAAGAAAGCGGCGGCAACGAGGAAGGGGAGGAAGTGAAAATGGGTATGTTAATAGGAGTAGGGCGTGTAAAAATCTTAATTCCTGCCCATTGATAAAGTTGGTAGATTTTGTTGGTATGAATCGATGGGCAGTTTTCATCTTCCAATTCATAATTTCACATAGTTGTTTTTTTCTCTTCTTTCTGGTATAATACTCATAATGTTTGTTTAGATCTTAACCCATTTTGTGGTTGGAAGGAAATAATTTTATACTTCTATGTCTAAGTTGGGATGTTGGGTAGACATGGGTGATGGGACGGTGGTGCTTACGGTGGCGCGTGATGTAGAACCCATTGTCCCAACCCTTGATGGTGTTTTGAGTGAGTATATAATATATACATACATTCTTGGTCCTTGGTCCTTGGTAATCCTTTGATTTATCACCGGTTGATCTAGAAACGGTTTCGGGTTATTAGTTTACGGTTTAAATGGTTTGAATTTGGTCTTTGTGGTTTTAATTTTGTTTTTGGTCCTTTAGGTTTTTTAATTTCCAACGTAACCTTGCTTTTCCGTAACATTTTGATCCTTGTTATTAGCGACGACACTTGTTAAGCGAAGGTCTTTTTCGTCCATTATCACTTTCTTTTTTCTTATTTTCTCATTCAAAATAATAAAATGTATATATTGTCTCCCCTACCCCTCTCTCTTTCTTTCCAAAACCGTCATGATTAAGGGTGTTCAAAAACCCGACCAACTTGATCAATCTAACATGAAATAACTCAACTTGAAACATTCAATGTCTAATTGAGTTGTAAAATTTTCAAACCGTAGGTATTAGGTTGATATTGAGTTACTATTATTTGAACTTAACTCAATTCATCCGATGAACCCGATATCCTTTTATTTATTGAATTTAATATGATTGTTGAATTTTATTAATATATACATTAGACAATTATAGTATCACGTACGCTCTTCGTATATATGTTTAGTAACTGTAAACATATATATGTAAATTGAAAAAATTAACTGATGTGATATACATAAGAAATATAGATAAGTTGTATCAAATAGTTCATGATGAAAAAGAAATTAAGAATAGAAAAATAACATATTTATGGTTATAAGAATATTTTAATGTGCCAAAAGTATCAACCCGACCAATTCGTACGGTTTGGGTTGGGTCGGGTTGCACTTTGGTTTGGGTTGGGCTGAGTTGAGATTTTTCAAACCGCAAGCATTGGGTTGGGTTGTTCAAATATCTTCAACCCATGAGCGTCCCTAGTCACGACCCTCATTATCTTCTTCGATCAAACTTTTCTCCGGTCATCTTATTTGAATGCGACTCCATCTTCGACTACCACACATCATAACAAAAACCCAAAATCAAATTGAAACGTCAAAATAAAAATAAAGCCAAACCTTATACTCAAAATCAAACCCAAATTCAAATCACAAAAGCAAAATCAAACTCAAATCTAAACCAAAAAATTAAAACCAAAACCACCTATTAGTCCAAACATAGAATAGAACACCGAAATGAAAACCTTGATTCTAATCTTAAAATCAAAATCTTAAATCGAAAAAACAAAGCATTCAAGCCTGCCTTAACACATGGGCGGACCTGATGTGGTGGCATGGGTGGCACGTGCCACCGTATTATTTTGCGACCGAAGGGTAAAAAATTTAGGTTTGTTAACGGTGCTACCGTATCGTTTTAGAAGGTGCTACCGTATTTCCCTGAAATCCAAATGGTGCAACTAAAACCCAAACAAAACAAAGCCCAAATAACCAAAACCATATTTTTTTGTAATTATTTTTGGGTATATATTGACCGTTTTCAAAAGATGAAGACACGTCGGGTACAAGTTTAGGAGTTGTTTATCGGTACTTAGGGCTGTAAACAACCGAACGAACACGAACGGAGGCTTGTTCATGTTCGTTCGTTTAACTTAACCGAACAAACGAACGAACACGAACGGTAAACGAACGAAAATCTTTGTGTTCGTGTTCGTTCGTTTAGAAATAAGGTGTGTTCGTGTTCGTTCGTAAACATGCTAAACGAACGTAAACGAACGAATATAAACGAACGGGCTAAACGAACATAAACGAACATAAATAAATATTATTTGAATTCAAAGTAAATAAATAAAAGATAATATATTAAACTTAATATATAAACGAACATAAACGAACATAAACGCATGTAAACGAACGGTAAATGAACGAACGTTCACGAACATAATCGAACGAACGAGACTCTTGTTCATGTTCGTTTAACTAAACAAACAAAAAAAATAGTTCATGTTCGTTCATTTATTAAATAAACGAACATAAACGAACTTCCCGTCGAACGGTTCACAAACGGTTCGTTGAATGTTCGGTTAGTTTACAGCCCTATCGGTACTATAAAAACCATATTTTTTTGTAATTATTTTTAGATATATATTATATTATATTAATTATATGGTGCCATCGTTTGAAAAAATTTCTGGGTCCGTCCCTGCCTTAACATTGAGGTAAACTAGTCGAAGAAGAAAATGCAAGAAGCTTGTTGGGATTCTGGTATGATTTTACCCATAATCTGTGATCTCGGTTTTGGGAGATATATAATTAGAGAAACCTATTGGATAGAAGAGAAAGGATAGAGGGAGGGTTAGCTTTAAGGTTTATTTACTAGTTTGGAATCTACATCCCCATTGATTCAGACGAGGGGAACATAAAAATTACAGACCGCGGAGAAAGATGAAGGAGGTCGAGAAAATGCTCACTATGTCAATTACTGTGAGTTTCTGATGACAAACTTGAAACCTGGTCGTGGTGCTGGGTAGTGCAACGAGGCACTGGTGTATGAACAATGTGATTATGTTCATTAATATTTAAATAATGTTTTACAAAAATTCAATTGGCTATTCCACCTTTTCATATATTAACAGACAATGAATATTGTACACTTATGGAAATATATTCATCGGTCATTTCGTGATACCCTTTGTAAAGCAATTAAAATAACGAAAATGCACATTATGATACATTTCATAAAACAAAGCAAATACATTGTGATATACGTGAAACATTGTGAATTATCACTATGGTACACTTTGATTCATAAACGTCTTTAAAATACGATGTGTATTAGGTAATTGATATACTAGGTAACTAATTTTAATTAAATATTTCCTTCTGAAAAATGTAATTAAATATTTTGATTAGTTGTTAAAAATAGGATTATTATATTACCTTTTTAGCTTATTTAAAAAATATCATTAAATATCTCAAACGAGTGGTTCACATTGGATCTCATGGTTACCACAAACTAATCAGTTCTCCCTTGAATGGGCTCCTGCATGGCTGCATCTATATACATATATGTATATACGTATATGCATACGTACACATACATGCATACATATACATACATACATACATGCATGCATATATACATATACAAATATATACATATATAGGGGCAAGTTCATTTGTTAACCTTAATTATTGTGTTAACTTTATGAATTAATCATGATCATTGATTTTTAAAATAAAGGGTTGAGATTAATCATATTATAAATTTAATTTATTAAATGTGTAATCTCACAAACATATGTGAACATAATTGATTAAGGATATTTATGTAAAAGATAATGTGCATTCGATGACATCCGTTACAAACAGTAGAAATCATATAGGTTCAATTGTATTCATAATTGTCATAAGTTGTAACACCCCATACCATACATTACATGTAACACATATTTCATACAGGAAATACATGTTAAAACATCATTCAGGTCCCTTAATACAAGATTCTACCAGTATGAAATACATGGTCCAAAAATTCAAAATACAAATTCTTGTACTAATCAATGTTCATCTATCAAAACTATACATCTCATCATCCAATCCTCATGCAGGTAAATATATAGGGAAATTATCATATTTTCCCTTTTCCCTTACCTTCAGCACTTCCTGCAATACATATTTAAAATCACAAAACGAGGGTTAGACCGAAAGGTCTAGTGAGTTACCCTATTTATGTTATTGCAGGGTGAAGATCATCAAAACTTTTAAGTAAAACAACTTTTCATATATATAACAAATATATGAACAAATAAGAACATAATACCAGTACCTTTCCACTTTTCAAGCCAAGCATTCAGCTATTCAAATAACATACTCTAAACCTTTATAGGTTTGAACCAACCAGATTTCATATAATGTCACTTTTAAACCTTTTCAATTAAACAAGGTTTATTTAAAGTTTCAGGCCAAACCTGTTATTTTCTCCTCAATAACATCCAGATTACGATTTCCAATAAAAAACCCAATCTTAAACCTTTAAATCACAAAGAAATAAAGATTCCAGACCACGGTAATTTTAAATGATATAATAGTAAGAGTTATATCACATAACACACATACATATGCCACCCTTATCCTATGGTACACCTCACCTTGATATGCCACCCTTATCACATGGTACACCTCTCCTTGATATGTCACCCTTATTTTCTCGTCAAAACATTTTTCACAAAACAATTCCAATTAGGACAGACCGTAGTCATAAATGTTCTAATGGAATATTATCAGTTCAAAATCATTCTTTATCAAAATTCCCATTCTTTATACAAGAATAGTAAAAATGATAATTTACATAAATAATACATAAGTTAAGGCACAAATCTGGTCAACACAGGCTTGGCCGGACTTCATCTCCGGTCAAGCCTTGGCCGATTTACTAATCTGGTCAACACAAGACCCTTGTCCGATTTACTAATCCGCACAGCTCTTCTCAATGCCTTGTCCGATTTAAAATAAACCGGCTACCTCATAGTCGTATTCCTACTTCTCCGTTCAAACTACTTGATATAAACTCAATGATCATAAATCGCTCAACACTTGTCCGGTTTAAGACTAAACCGCTTGACTCTTGATCGGTTTAAGTCCAATCCGGATAACACTCATCAAGCGGTTTATTTAAAAATCGCTTAAGCCTTAACCGGTTTAGGGCTTAAATCGCTCAACCCTTGTCCGATTTATGGCTAATCCCCCCATTTCTTGCTCGATTTTAAAACTAATCCGGACATCATTCATCAATGTTTAAAATAAAAGCTATACAATCAATTTATGCAATTGTAAAGAGTTTTCAAGCAATTTAAACCACTCACCTTGAAAAGCCTTTTGAAATCAGCCTCTTTACAAAGCAAAACAAGAAATCCGGACAACTTCTTTCTTTCTTAAATCGCTCAAATTTTCAAAATGGCAAGAAGAAGGGAAAT